AATTGATTAAATGCAATAAAAATGCAATGAAATGCGACGACAAATCTTAGGGCAAAATTTGGGGTATTACACCTGAGACAGAAGTTCTTGATGTCACACCACTAAAAATTGTGTTTCAAGTATCTTCTACCTCCTGCACACCAACCACCTCATCAAACTCCTCAGAATCTGACATTCACCCTGATTTTCTAATCTCTCCATCTCACAGAGACTCTGAGGTAAACCAACCAGAACCCACTATACCTTCTAAAGCTTCTATTCCAGATCCTACTCCCACACCCAATCCAGAATTGAAATCCTGATCCCAAATCCTAACCAAACATCTAACCCAAGATCATCTATCTCTTGTGCACAAGTTTCATCCCTATTTCACAATCTGGCATATGGTTTCAAACTCAAAGATTTTTATGACAGAGTTGAACCATCTGACCCTATCACTCCCCTGAAACCCAAACTCACAATAACCCTTCCATCTGTGCTTATCACATATATTCAATCCATGTCAGATGCAGGTTCATTAGCAACAATACCATATTCTGATAAATCTGTCAAAGCTGTTACTTCAGCTATACCTGTATCATCTGCTAAATCTGTTGCTTCTAATAAACCTGCAAAATCTGCTTTTCAACCTTACACTGATCAACACTTTTATGTTGTTTCTAATAACCCAACTGCCAAACCATGTTTAACAAATGCTCTAAAAAGGTCAAAACCAGAAAAATCATCTGAGATTCCATTTTTCCCCTACTATCCTCCTCCTCTGATTTCCACTCGTGAATCCTTATTTCCATCTACTCCCCAACCAAAACCAATAACACTGGAACCTCTGTTACATCCCAAGCCTAGACTTGATGTTAATCCTTTATTTCAATCTTTTTTGCAAGAAATACAGTTGTATTTAGGTACTGTACAGAAGAGGTATTCAGCAACAATGGATGCCCAAGAATCTGATGTCATCTGGAATGGATTCATCAGCAGGTTCAACACTATAGCATCAAATCTGAAGAACATATGTTCTGATGATGCGAAGCTCAGATTCGCTGAAGCTGCAAGAAATTTGTTCTGGACCGTCAAGAGATCTGGACCACTACTTCTTACAGATGCTCCTCCATCATCAGAAGAGAATACTGCATCTACATCTGCATCTGAAGACAATCCTATGGCCATGACTCTGATAGAACAACCTTCTGGCTCTACTGCTCCAAGCTCTGAGACTCCCATGGAAATTGACTCTGTTCAAGCTCCAGAAAATGATCATCCCTCTTCATCTGAGTTAAAGCAAGAACATCCAGATTTTGAGGATAAAATTGCTGCTCTGGAAGCTGGTCAATCAGAGATCAAGTCTTGGATGGCAAAACAAGATAAAAAGTCTGAAGACATGACAGAGTGGATGTCAAAGTAGGATCAGAAAAATGAAACAATGGCTAAGTGGATGTCAAAGCAAGAGCAGTCCTCCTCTGAGATCACAGATCTATTGAAGATGCTTTTGTCAAAACACTCTTAGATTTTCATTTTCTTTCATTCTGATGTTTTTGCATCTGATGTTTGCTTATGTACTTTTTGATATATCTTCTGATGCATGTACTATTGATCTGAACTCATTGAATGAATCAAAGTTTTCTCCATTGAAATATCTCATTTACTGTTTCCTTTTATTTGTCTTTTTAAGTTTTTACTTTTTGCTTATGACAAAAAAGGGGGAGAAAATATAGATCTGAACTGTTTAAATTTAACTTCACCAGAATGAAACTTCAGACATATTTATTCTATCTAACATTTAATTTGAGTATTTCAGAACATTTGATAAGTACACCCTATAAAAGATACTTTGAGTCTCTCAGATCATTTGACTATTATCAAACTCTGAATCTAATATGTGCAAGACATTCTGACTTTCAAATGTTAAAAGAACAATCAAGATCTAACTCTGAAAATTACTCAAGACAAAAGGGAAGTTTCTATTCCTTATCTGTATTTAACTCAGGGGGAGATTCATCATCTCAGGGGGAGTTATAATTTAATATTTTCAATCAAACAAAATTTCTGATGTTTTTGTCATCATCAAAAAGGGGGAGATTGTTAGAACACAGATTGGTTCTTAATAATATCTCTATGTTTTGATGATAACTATTATGAAATTTTGTATTTAAGAATTATATACTCTAAAATTTGCTTGAGAGTTTTTACTACAGATAGTAAAGGAATTAACACTCCAGAAGCAAATTAGAATTGAACACAAGAAATTAGCTAGACTCTGAAGCGCCAGATGCATTCATTAGAAGATTCTGATTGCTGCCAACAGAAGATTCTGAGCGTAGCCTCCAGAAGGATCTGAAGCAGAAGCTCCAGAAGAATCTGAAGCAAGTCAGAAGCATCTGAAGCAAAGAAGAATTTTGTATGAAGAGTTTTTCAAAGCATAGTATCTACAGAAGATTCTGAAAGTACTAAAGCTGCCAGTACTGAAATTCTGTCTCAAATATGCTCTGATCTTAAACACGCTGAAAGCACACCTGCTGCAGAAGACTCTGATTCAGCAAAACTCTGATCATCATCAGAAGACTCTGATCCAATTAGACTCTGATGAATTTGCTGAAAACTGAAGAAGAAATATTCAAAGTTTTATATCCGTTGGAGTAAATCAAACGTCTCTTTCCTTATTTATGCTAGACACAAGAACACATACAAAAAGGATTTTTCTATGCTTTCTTCTTCTAGGAAAGGTCACTTGATGTAAAGACAAAAAGGCTCAGACCTTTTGGACACTCTTCTCAACGTGAAGCTCACCTTGGATCAACTGCCTATAAAAGCAAGACTCCACCAAATTCTTCAGTTGACGTTGGCATTGAAAAGAAATAAAACATTCAAGCTCTCATACTTTCATATTCATTCTAAGAATTTATTTCATTGTTCTTAAACTTAAGAGAAATATCACAGTTGTGATAATAGCTTTTTAGAAGCATTCTTACTCTTGTATTAGTTTTACATTGATTGTAAAAGATTTCCTTAAGAGGATCTAGTTGGGATCAGTAGCTCTTGAGAAGACTAAGGACAGTTGTTCTTAGGTGTTACTATTGTAATCTGTTTGATTAAATAGTGGATTAAGTCCTTGATTGAGAAAGGCAAATCACTCTAGAAAGGGTGGACTGTAGTAGTTGAGTTCAATGAACCAGGATAAAAATACTTGAGTTTTAATTTTAAGTTTTATTCTTTCATACTTATTCAACCTCCCTTCTAAGTATTATCTCACCTTCAGTGATAATAGTTACAGTGGCAAATCACAATCTATCAAGTTTTCTCTTAGAATACAGGGGTTCGTGTAACATCCTTTTCGTCGACACACTCATGCAGCTATCGCTCCATATCTAGATTCGTGCGATGACATAAGTCTCCTTACATTCATTGATTCTATAACTCTCCCCATGGATTAACGGATTTACTATTGTTCACCAATTTCATTTCTTCCTCTTGAGTAATAACTGTGTGGTTAACGAGACGCCCTTGAATGGGGAAATGCAAAAGACATGACATGTTTTCATGTGTCACTGTTATCTCATTAACTAGAAGGTGAAAGGTGTTCAACCTCCCCGTGTCACCTCTCTGAGAAATTTGTCAACATGTCATGATCAATTATGTTGAAACTTATGGTGGTGAGGTCGACTATTCCATTTTTTTTTATTGAAATCAATGAACCAATCTTCTTTTGGATTTTTCAAAGTGACGATATTCTTACTGTTATATATACATTTCAATGGTCCATCACTAGGGCCGTATTTGAGGGTGTGTAAGGCGGCCTACAACACATGACCTCACATTTTGTATTGATTAATCTATGGAAAAAAGGACCTCCATATACATATTGCACAATTATTTTACGATTAAATAAGACCTCTTAAAAAAATTTCACTACTTAAGTGAAGATAACTCCAATTTCTTACACAGGACCTCTCAAAAGTTTGAGATGACTCTGTCCATCCTGATATTAAAAAATTAATTAAATAAAAATTAGAAACAATATAAAACAAAAACAAAAAATAAATTGTAAAGTATGAATTACACTTATCCTTAGTAAAAATATGAAGTGAGGGGAAGAAGAATGAGTTACTAGTTTAAAGGAGTTTCGTATTTTACTATCTAAATATTTAAAAAGAAATACACTCCTAAAAATGAGAAAAGACCATAATCTTAGGTAGAGGTCAAGACCTCATACTAAAATAAAGGGAAGGGGTGAGCGTAGAGAGAAATTTTACATTAATTTAAAATTTATTTATTTATAATTGAAATCATTAAGTGGTGGTGATAATGAGAAAGGAAATTTTATTTTTATTTTTTAATATACTGAAAATTATGATTAATTATGTACAAAATTAAGTAATATGCTAGTTTCTATCTTAAAAATCTTTGGAACGTGGAAAAACAACAACCAAAGAGAATAAGAAGCATTTGCCCTGTAACATTGTAAAAAGAGAAAAAAGGACAACACATAAAGAAAAATAACTCGTTTTTTTTTAATTTCCATTTCCGTCGCGACACATAGTCGACAAAATCCAAAAATACTAAATGTTAAGATCAAATTTATACCATGCATTGCTTTGATATTGTCTTTTTTTAGTGTAGAGCTCCCATTAACCAAATAAAGCTTGTTTCTAATTTCTAAAATCAACAACATTCTTTTATTTTTCTTCCTATTCTTCTCAATGATGATTGTGAATATCAATATAAATATCTTTCAAATAAAAAACAGACATTTAGACAAGTCAAATTAACATGGTACGGATGTTCCCATAAAGGGTGAAGAAAAATCTCGGATTCGTCGACCTTAAACACCGTAGGATTACAGTGGGACCCAACCAACAATCATTCAACACTTGTCTCACATAGCTCCTTCCCTTCCCTCTTCCTCTGTGTTTTTTTAGAAGACTCTCGTTGTTCTCTTGTTTTTTTGTCTCGTTCATTTCAAAGAGAAAGAAAAAAGAGAAGGGGTTTTGGTTTTGGTTTTCGGCATGGAGGATCACATGGGGAAGGAGGAACAAGAACAACAACATGAGGTGGGTGCCGTTGCGGGTGGTGAAGAGGATGAGGCTGTTTCCACCATAACTATGGAAAGGGTTGCTGCAGCTAAGAAATTCATTGAGAATCATTATAGGTCTCAGATGAAACATATCCAAGAACGCAAGGAAAGGTATAAAAAGAAAACACCATGCATGCATTTTTCTTTTTGTTTAGATCTATTTGTTATGTGTTTGATGAATGGCTTCTTATGCACGTATAAAAACGATTCCACCTGTTACAATATAGAATACTTTATGTGAAGCTTTTTTTTATAGAGATTATGTTCTTTTTGTGAAAATGCTAATGCTGGGAGTTAAGTTAACATTGTTTTTGTTATTTGTAGGCGTTCGGAGCTGCAAAAGGAGTTAGAATCGTCTCATGTACCAGAAGAGGAACAGATTAATTTACTGAAGGATTTAGAGAGCAAGGAGACTGAGTTTATGCGGTTGAAAAGACATAAAATATGTGTTGAAGATTTTGATCTTTTAACCATTATTGGTAGGGGAGCCTTTGGTGAGGTACTGATATTCCTATGTTTTCTTTGGAATCACAATTTGATTATATTTTTGATAGCTTAAATGGTAAAGTTGTGTGGCATCTTATACCGTGTGATTTCATAGGTAAGACTCTGTCGCGAGAAGAAATCGGGTATTATATATGCGATGAAAAAGTTGAAAAAGTCCGAAATGCTCAGTAGGGGACAGGTGAATTTTCATAATTTCATTAACACTATGGATGTCTGTTCTTTTCATAATGGTATCACAGAAAATTGCAGCGCAGTTGCAATTTCTAAAATCTTAATATTGTGGTATATTTTTTCAATCTCCGCATCACAATTCAATTTTTATGTTAATGTATTGGATTTGTTTTCCTTTTCCATCATAGGTTGAGCACGTTAGAGCTGAAAGGAATGTTCTTGCAGAAGTTGTGAATGACTTCATTGTGAAACTTTATTACTCATTTCAAGATCCTGAATTCTTATATCTTATAATGGAATATTTACCTGGTGGCGATATAATGACTTTATTGATGAGGGAAGAAACTTTGACAGAAAGTGTGGCTAGGTTTTACATCGCCCAAACCGTTTTGGCCATAGAGTCTATTCATAAACACAACTACATTCATCGGTTGGTATCGTTACATTTTAAAATCTACTTTCATCTTGTTATTATAAACCATGTTTTGCTGTTATAAGTTTCTTCTCGTTTCCTCAGGGATATAAAACCTGACAACCTTCTGTTAGACAAATATGGTCACATGAAACTGTCGGATTTCGGTCTTTGCAAACCACTTGACTGCTCAAATATATCAGCTATAAGTGAAAGTGAAATATTGGATGACGATAACTTGAATGATACAATGGACGTTGATGGAAATTGCCCAAATAACAGAAATGGTAGGCGTTGGAAAAGTCCGCTCGAGCAACTTCAGCATTGGCAAATGAATAGGAGGAAATTGGTAAATGCTTTACGCTATTGCATTTTTGCTTTGGTCTTTCTTTTCTGTTTCACATCTTTTTGTGGTGCAATCATTTCAGCAGTGTTTGTTCGATTAATGTATGTTTTTGGCTTATAAAAGAAAATGTTGATTTCGATCTATTTTTTTTTTACCACTTTGAACATGTTTTCATTTTCTTGCATGAAAATTCTTCGCTAGCTTATCTATTCATTTCATGGCAGGCATTTTCTACTGTTGGAACTCCAGACTATATCGCTCCGGAAGTGTTATTGAAAAAGGGTTATGGTGTGGAGTGCGACTGGTTTGTTGATATTCTTTCTCATTTGCAACTCCGATAAGTGTTTAAGAAATATTTGGAACTCTGATAAGTATTTTTGACTGATGCAGGTGGTCTCTTGGGGCTATTATGTATGAGATGCTTGTCGGTTATCCTCCATTTTACTCTGATGATCCTGTAACAACATGCCGAAAGGTTTTGAATACTTTTTCCTTATTCTTCCGTCCTTAAGCATTTCTTTGCAGCCCTGTGAATATATGTTATAGACGATGATTCCCAATAGCCTTGTACTTATTTTTCCTGGTGACAACGAGTGTCTGCAGATTGTTCACTGGAAAAATCACTTAAAATTTCCAGACGAGGCAAGACTGACGCCTGAAGCAAAAGATCTGATATGCAAGTTGCTTTGTGGTGTTCCACATAGGCTTGGTACCAGAGGAGCAGCTGAAATTAAAGTGTGTAAGATGTGGTTTTCTTTCTCTCTTTTCCCACTTTCAACGGACTAGTCTTAAATCACGCTATTCCCTGATAACATTATTGCATCTTAATTGCCAGGCTCATCCTTGGTTCAGAGATATCATATGGAACAGGCTCTATGGAACCGAGGCAGCATTTAAACCGCGAGTCTTTGGGGAGCTTGACACTCAGAATTTTATGAAATTCGATGAGGTATATGATACTAAGAAATAGGTGCATGGATTTTCATATCTTTTGCTTTAACTCGGTTCAAATAATTTTTAATTGGTCGAATTTGTGACATTTATTGTAATGGTATCCATAGGTTGAACTGCCAAAGCCAACTCGAACAGGATCCGGACCCATCAGAAAGGTAAAACTCTATTTACTTGCAGGAAAAATATAAACTATCACTATAATCGTTGGATCCTTCGTCTTTAAATCTGTAACTACTTGAATCCAAATCCAAGTGTGGTATAAGTTGATTAACTTGTTAGAATACCAAAAATCTTACGCTTCTCGTAATATTTTTGCATGCAGACCCTCTTAACTACTCAAGATCTCAGTTTCGTTGGCTATACATATAAGAATTTTGCCGCTGTCAAGGGGAAGCGTCATTCTAATGGTAGTTTTTTTTTTCTGTTAGATTTTTTAGTTTTACATTACATGATGATACCTTATAGCTAATCATATTCTACCACATTTTTTGGACTTGATAATACAGAAAAGGGAAGCCTGTCACCACGGTCATCAATCGACTCCACACACAGTAATAAAACCTAGAAAACTTTGATAACTTCTTCTATGTTTATTCCGATATGTGATTCTAACTGACGCATTTGATTATAGGTGATTCTGCAATAAACTATTCCACCTGACACAAAATGGATAACACAAAAGCATAAGTGGTTGCACCCTACTATGGTGCTTGTGAAAAGTTACCTGCCTAACCTTATTTTTCATGTACATTATTACCTTCTTGAGTAGCGAATAGACGAAGATGCGCCTTTGGTGATGATGGTGTCTTTTGCCTTCCTTTCAGTGCTAATAAAAGACACATATCATGCAGAACTTAGTGTACAGGGATTGATATCTATTGATATCTATGTATGTACCTTTACCTTTAGGAATGATTCACTTGTTGTAACTCTATCTCTTTAGCACATACACTTCTGAAAAATAGTGTGTCCATATTTGTGTTTGTGTCTAAAACAGACACTGACACTTGTAATTACATTTAATTTATTCATTTTTTTTAATTATTACGGGTGTCAATGTAAGTGTCATGCTTCATATGTGCTATGTATCTGAGCTTCATAAAACTCTATCTACTCGTTGTGATATATGTATGTGAAAGTTTTGAAGTCAAGTAGATGTTTGTAAATTTGTCATTAGGTCTTGACCACTATAGTTGCCTAGGTTGGCAAATTATAACAAAAATGTGCCATCACTTGTGGCAAATTCTAACCCTTTTCTTTCAATTCTCTCTCTTTTTCTTAACCCCTTTTGTTATGTCTTGTATGGAAATTCCTATTGTTTTTTTGAAAAAGCCAAATAGCATTAAACATAAAAAAGGCACAAGTTGTGCTTTCAGTTACAAAGAAAGGCTAGACAGTGGACACACACTCCACCAAAGAAACACCAACTCCAAAATAGATCACAGGAATTCAATTACACACAGACAATGAAGTTATTATATAATCATAAGTATGGTGTTCAGGTAATATAAAATGTTGGTGATTTTAGTCTCATTAACGGAATTTAGTAGTAATGAGATTTATTATAGGCCAATGCAATTATGCGTTAAGCTTGGAAACGAGTTAGGGTAGTGCGGAGTACACGCTCGTCAAGCCAACATATAATTGAATACGAATAATTGAAACGGGGTTCCAAGGGACGGAGCCCCTGGCGGGGTGCGGGGCAGCGCCCCGAGCGAAAATTTTGAATAAATTTCAATCCCAATTTTCCTAACGTTCAGAAATATTTCTGAATAGTTGTGTCGTTTCAATTACTATTATTGATCTCCTATAAAAGGAGTCAATTTGCCTCGTTTTTCACACACAGAAAAACAATACCTTTCTTTTCTCTACATTCTTGATCTGTTCTCCATTGCCGGATACAGATTGTTCTTCGTGAATTATTCCCGCAAAGATTTCGTGAACCCAGGCAATATATAGGGTCGAAATACTTTGTTCGGAAAGTGTTTCGAACGCGATTCATCGAAGATATCCAAGATTATCATACCAATTTCTAACAAACGAACAAAGTACTTATTCTGATAATCATGGCTGGAAACACCGTCAAGGAGATGACCAGAAATTTCGGAAAATTGGACAAGTTTCAAGGACAAGACTTCAGGCGCTGGCAGAAGAAGATGCATGTTGACAACGTTGAAGGTGGTGCACGTCCTGTCTACACCGATTCCAGAAATTCTGGAAGATGACACGGTTGAAAATCTGAGACGCAGATCAAAATGGGAGAACGACGACTACATATGCAGAGGGCACATTCTTAACGGTATGTCTGATCCCTTATTTGATATTTACCAAAATGTGGAATCTGCAAAGGAATTGTGGCATTGTCTCGAATCCAAGTACATGGCAGAGGACTCATCCAGTAAAAAGTTTCTGGTAACCGATTTCAACAATTACAAAATGGTTGAATCAAGGTCTGTCATGGAACAATTCAATGAACTCCTCCGAATCCTTGGACAGTTCACACTGCACGGATTAAAGATGGATGAAACAATATATGTCTCAAGAATCATAGACAAGTTGCCTCCTTCGTGGAAGGATTTCAAACATAGTCTGAAGCATGGAAAAGACGAACTGTCTTTGATCCAACTTGGAAGTCACTTGCGCATAGAAGAATCTCTAAGAGCCCTGGAAATGACAAAGGAAAGGGCAAAGAAATTGTTGGACCCTCAGTTAATATGGTCGAAGAGGGTGGTAAGAACGATAACAACAAAAACAAAGGAAAGAAGCGTGTTTTCAAGAACAAAAAGGGCAGTTTCGGTGCTAACAAGAAACCGAAACTAGAATGCTGGAAGTGTGGCAAAACAGGCCACTTCAAGAAGGATTGCCGCTTCGGTAAAAAGCATGACAACGCGAACGCAAGTGGTTCAGGAAAGGGGTCTAAGGACCAATCTGAAAACCAAGGTCAGAAATCAATTCGTGATTTGAATGGTTTGATTAAACATTCGGTTTCACTAAATTCTGAAGCATTTTATGTGCAGGATGATGCTATTGCGTGGTGAATTGATTCTGGTGCCACAACACATGTTTGCAAGGACCGTTTCTGGTTCAAGACTTTTGTTCCAGTGGAAGATGGTTTTGTCCTCTACATGGGAGATGATCACTTCGCTCCCGTTGAAGGCAAAGGAAACGTGGTGCTAGAATTTAGCTCTGGAAAAACTATTATTTTGTTTAATGTATTGTATGTTCCTAAATTACGTAAGAATTTAATTTCTGGTCCTGTATTAAATAAGCTTGGATACAAGCAAGTGTGTGAATCCGATAAATATGTTTTATCGAAGTCTGGTGTGTTTGTAGGATTTGGATATTATAATAATGGTATGTTTATGATGAATTTGAATGGAGTTCCTAATGATTCTAGTTCTGTATTTATGTACATTATAAAAGAATGCATGAAATGTCTAAAGATAATTTAATTCCAGTTTTTGATAAAAATATAGAAAAGTGTAAAACTTGCATGTTAACAAAGATCACTAGGCAACCTTTTAAAAATATAACAAGAAAATCTGTCATCCTTGAGTTGATACACAGTGATTTATGTGATCTACATGCTACTCCATCATTGGGGCATAAAAAATATTTTGTCACTTTCGTAGATGATACATCTAGGTTTTGTTATATTTATCTGTTGCACGCTAAGGACGAAGCCTTAGATAAATTCAAAATTTATAAAACTGAAGTTGAAGTACAACAGAATGTGCTAATTAAAACGTTGCGAACAGATAGAGGTGGTGAATATTATGATCCTGTATTTTTCCAATCCGTAGGAATCATTCATGAGACTACCGCACCTTATACACCTCAACAAAATGGTGTGGTTGAACGGAAAAATAGAGTTCTTAAAGAAATGGTGAATGCCATGTTATTTTACTCTGATTTGCTGCTATTCACTGTTGACTTTGTAACTTGTTTTTTTCTCTTGCTACGCTGCTAAAAAAATAACTGGTCATGGTGATATATTCTGAAACCGTGCTAACGCTTCTTTTCTTCTTCTTCGCAGAGAATGACATACTCGAATTCAGACATTTTCCCTATCTTATGCTTGCTGGGGAAGGTTTTGAATTGGCGATGACGGCACTACGTCTGAGCTAAGAGGTTTACGGCCGTTGTTGCTTTCGAATGTCGTTGATGCTTTCAAGTTGGTAGGGAGTTGACGACAAACCCCTTTGTTGTCCTTCCGGCTACTCGAGCTTCTGTCCAATGATGATTCAGAACTGAGGGTTGATTTTGCTTCACTGCTCTTAATTCTTCTGAATTGGTTTTGGATTGTGCACCTGGTGTTCTCCGTTGTGTTCTTTTGAGAAAAGAACTTCTCCGTTTTCTAATTAGCAGGTCGTGATTTCCTTTAAGAAACGCTTCTTTTTGCATATAATCTGGTTCTTCTTCTTTCAGGAAAAGACTTAGGAGCTGCAGACTTTGTGTGGTCGAGAAAGGCTTCAAATTATCAAGTTATCAGAATTTTCCATTGCCGATACACTAGCTTTACCAAGTGTGTTCGTGTTGGATGTTGTTGTTGTATCTGAGATAGCTTATGCTTCATAATTGGTTGGCTGCTGGTGTGGAACTTGTTGATTACTTCTTCGGCTACTGCCTGTTGGAATTTTGGTTGCGACTGTGAGCCGGTTTGGAATCAAAAACTTCCTTCTTTACTTGAGTACATTCGTTTACTGTGTTGGTTATACTTGTTGTGGAATGGCCCGGAACTGAGTTCTTCTTTCGGTACTAACATTTCTTCTCCTTCCAGGAAAGGGCGCAAATTCAGGAACTGTCGGCTTTATGTCGTTGAGGGAGGTTCCCAATTTGGTGATGATGACTCTGCGTCTGAACCAAAGGGTTGAAATGGCCGCTACAATCTTTGATTTGTTGGTGAAATATGATGCTTCTGAGTTGCGTTAAAAGTCATCCGATATTAACCACTTTCGTCCAAAATTCAGTCCCTTCGATGTTCGATAGGGAGCTGGTGACGACTCTCGTTGCTCTTCCGATCGCTCGAGTCCTCCGCCCGATGATGAGCTTAACTGAGGGCTGAAATTAACTCTAATTATCTTGATTCTTAACTTGTGATTTATTGCTGTTAGGTCTGTTCTGATTATCAGTTGGTGTTTGCTTTGACAGGTTGGAATGAAACTGTGGTGCGATGAACTCTCTCAGCATTGGCGTAATAACTAAGTTTGTTAGAAAGTAATTCTTAAAGGTCAATGGAGGATCCTGTTGATGGTGTCGTTGATTCACTGTCGGGTTCCTAAAATCAAATATTATTTTTTGTCCCAGTTAATGTTTAAACTCCTTTCTCAATCATCAGAAATATCAGCAACACCGTCGGTGCCAACACTGTTTCAATTGTGCAATAGGCTCTGAAAAGCGGTGCCAGTCCTTTGGCTACATGTAACTTCAATTGAACTCTCAGCATGTTGGTCACAATAACTTTGTACTCATAATTAAGTGGTTTGGCCGGTTAATCAAATTCTGTTGGCCATATTGTTTCTATTGTTGTAGTAATTTGTCTACTTTGAGTCTTGTAATAATCATGAATTGCCTTGTAATTGAATTTGAAATGAGCTGGTAATATTGATCTCTTTAAATCCCACTCTGTAACATCTTTAAACAAAGTTGAAACATGGAGC